GGGGGTGGAAGGGTGAATGAGGCTTAGGGAGTCCCAGTGCGGAGAGCTGCGCTATATACTTACCCCAAGAGGCCTGAGGATAGTAGTGCAGGCTAGGAGAGTTAGCCGGTGGTGCAGGCCCAGGGAAGCAGAGAGAGGTGAGGGCGGGGCCAGGACCAGAAGTGGTGCTCCCCAAGAGGCCTGAGGATAGTAGTGCCGTGTGTGTCTTTTTTGAGACGTGGTCTTATATAGCCCAGGTTGGTCTCAAACTGACTATGCGGCTAAGGCTGGCCTTGAATTCCTGGTCCTCTTGCCTCTACTTCTCAAATGTTGAAAATACAGGAATATGCTAAATTTTAGTATTTCTGAGTTTTCTTTGAGCTTTGGTTCAACACCCCATGTGTAGAGCTGATCAGGAAGCACACCGTGCTTGCATAAATGGGAAGAGAGCCTGGCGTATTATAGATACTCAAAATGGCTACATTTGTTTCACTGTCTGTATGTGCATGGTATAATTTTTAACACTTCATTAAAAAATCTAGCCAGGCATGGTAGCGCATGCCTTTAATCCCAGCATTTGGGAGGCAAAGGCAGCCTGGTCTACATAGTGAATTACAGGCCAAGTGGGGCTACACAGAAACCCTGTCTCAAAAAAAATTTTAGGACATGAGACTAGAGAGGTTCCCCAGCAATTAAGAGGACTGGCTGCTCTTCTAGAGGACCCAGGTTAGGTTCCCAGGACTCACATGGCAGCTAACAGCTGTTTGTATCTCTAGTTCCAGGGGTTCTGACACCTTCTTCTGGCCTTTGTGGACATTGCACACATGTGGTGCACATGGATATATACAGACAAAACATTCACTCATGTAAGATTAGGAAGAATCTCTAAAAAATTTTGAACTTCCAATTTCTCTTTACTAGAGGTTAGAATGAAGCTTATTTTTCTCAATTTATGAGAAAATTTTGTAAGAAACTATAAATATAATTGAGGACAGTGTATTTATCTAATGCTCTAAGAAGACAAATTAAGCCCTTTGTTAGCTTAATTTGAGTTTTGGTTAAAATTAAATATAATAGATACTTCATAATCTGTAGTTTTCATTAATTCAGACTAACTTTTTTTCACAATTTAACCAAGTAAGTGAGGGTTTATTATTTTATTTTTTTGAACTTTTTGAGACAGGGTCTTCTTATAGCCCCAGCTGGAATTTGCAATGTAGACCAGGCTGGCCTCAGTCTCACACAGATCAACCTGCCTCTGCCTCCTCAGTGCTGGGATTAAAGGTGTGTGCTACCATGCCCAGCTGAAGGGTTATTTTTTAATCTTTTTTTTAATGGTTTTGTAGATTGAAACTTGTGTCATGTGAGTGCTCTATCACTGTGTTGTATCCCTAGTTTGAAGTTTAGCTTTGATATGGGATCTTTATGTGTATACAGTGTTAAAATTATTCCAAGAGAATAAAAATTAGCACAAGACAGTGTTTGTAAGGTGAATTACTTTGAATACAGTTTTTCTGCAGTCCTGGAGGGCAGAGTTGCTCTCTTACTGCAACCCTTTTGTCAAAAACTATTAGTCTTTTTGTTCAATTCTTGACACCTAGAATGTTTGGATAATTAGAAGATCAGGTAAATTGACTATCTTAGTTGATTGTAACCTGTAGTATTATAGCTCAGTGTTCAGTTTTTCATAGTATTTGTAGGTAACAACTTATGTTACATCTATGTTATTCATAAAATAATAACTGACAGAAAGTCAGTACTGACTGGTTAAGTTTTTAATAATTCTAAAGAGTCAGGTGATCAGTATGAATATGAATTATACAATAACATGAATTATATGAATATGAGTTATACAATACATTTTAACTTGTAGTTTGGAAGCTAAGTAACTTAAAGAGTTTATTATTATTGGTTGGTATGTATAATTTATCTAAAGGAAATGCTAATTTTTAAGTTATATGTTAGGGAGCTTCCTTTAAAGAGGGTTTTGTTTATTCATTTACTAAATATTTTATTGGTGAGAATTGTTCAGTTGCTGTTCTCATCTATTTATGTGGGAGGTTTTTCCTTTTCTTCTAGCATTTCAGGTGCAAAATGTCCATCTGTTTGAGCTCATGGAATTACCTTTTAATGTGGCCTATTAAAACAACCAGTTTATAAAATTACCTTCTTTATGAATTCTCTTCTAGTTTTCCTATTTATATT